TAGGGGAAGGGAGGGAAATCTGAATAGGAACTCATCAGAGAGGGAGACAAACCATGAGAGACTCTTGACTATAGGAAACAAACTGAGGGTTGCTGGAGGGGAGGTGGGGGGCCAGGGTAATTGGATGATGGGCATTAAGGAGGGCAAGTGATGTGATGAGCACTGGGTGTTATACGCAACTGATGAATTATTGAACTCTATATCTGAGACTAATGAGGTACTGGCTACTTGAATTTAAATTTAAAAAAAGAAAGAAAAAAGATACATACAATGAGCTATATGATAGTATATGATATATAATAAAATACATGATATATATAATAAAATATACACATATAATAAGATAGGGCTTGTTTTTCTAGAGAGCCCTGAATGACATGTGGTCCCTGCTTAAACATTATCTTCCTCATTTCCCTGTTTGAAATTTTAGCTCCATCCCCTGCTTCATGATCCTGATCCAGACTACAGCCTGTCTGAGTACTGATTTTATCTCTTGGCATCTGTCTTCTTCACTAGAGTGAGGGCGGAGCTCTGGATCTGCTCGATTTTGCTCACTGTTGTTTCCCCAGGACTTGTAACTGCCTGGTACACACAGTAGGCACTCGGTAAATGCTGAATGAATGGGTCAAGGATAGCGCTCAATAAATGCTAGCCAGCTGGATTATGAATAAGCAAGTGAGTCTTCCCAGGCCCCAGGCCATTCCACTCCAGACCTAACGCAGTTCCTGGAGACCTGGCTGCGGCTTGTGTCCCTTCGTCCCCGGGGGAGGCAGGGTGAGCGGGTTGAGGATCTGAGGGTTTGAATCCTCTCAGTGGGCCGCGGGGCACATGGGGGCTGCCAGTTGTTTGGTACCTGCCCTGGGGGGTTGGGGGACTGAGGACAGCCCAACAGAGCCTGATAGAGTAGGTTCTTGGGGTGTGGGCGCTCTGGATGGGTTGTTTGGCATTTGAAAAGCATATTTACAGATGAGTTGTTTCCTGTCTCTAGGAATTAGCTAGCTCTGGGAGGGGCGGTCTCTCCAGTGCCAGGAGGCCCCAAGAGGTCAAAGCGGCAGAAAATAAAAGGCATGGTGACTACATCATTGCCCTAGCCAGAGCCAGTCTCCCTCACTCAGCCTCAGCAGGGGCTGGACAAGGCTCCCCGCAGACCTCTGGGGCCTCTGGCCAAGCAGCAGCACGCGGACGATGTGGCCAGAGGGAGGTGGCCCTTCTGCTCTACCTGCCTAGACACTGCCCCACTGTTGGGGACCCCACCGGGACCTCAGGGACCCCACACGCCTGCCCCAGAATATGAGGAAGGGGTCTCCTGGATCAGCCAGATCCCCCTCACAGCCCCGGTTCCTGGCCTGGGAGTGGTCACACCGGGAGCCTCAGAGATTGGGGAGAAGGAGGCTGGTCCTGCAGAAACCCAGCGAGGCAGTGGCGAGGCTTCCAGGCAAAGCAGGAATGTCTTGGAATCTTTGGAATTACAGAAGAACGATCCTTTCTCACATCACAGACTAATCACTGCACCCACCCAACCCTGCCGTGAACCCCAACACCCTGGAGGGGATGCCTGTGAACATAAGGTGCTGAGTCAAGCAGGTGCATTATCCAGTACAAACCTCACCCACAACCTTAATATTTTAGTATTTTATTATTGATAATAATTATGCTCTATTTTGTCAATAATAAATTCTAAACAATAAATATAATATATAATATAAATATAATTATGCTCTATTATTATCAATAATAAAATATTTATTAAGAAATAACTAGTATCCAGAGTGCTATTATTATCCCACTTTTCCAAAGGAGGAAACGGAGGCTCGGGGGACTAATACTTTGCTTGACATCAGGGAGCTGAAAAGACAGACTTTCTTTGTGCAACGTTTCTGTTTTTTAAATGGTACCCAACTTCCATATTTATTTAAGAAATGCTCTTTGGGCCAGAACACGGACAACCTATGTGTGGGGGAAGAACCACACGGGACCCCGTGGCCTGTGGCCTGGGTCATGTGGTTGGCAGCGTGATGAGGTTCGCTGTGGGGTCAGCGGATCCCGGATACTGCTGCTGGCCCCCACACTTACTGGGTAGTGATTGCTGAGCTCCTTTGGTCCCTCCTTGTCTGTTAAACAGAGATGGTACCTGACCTCCCATGAGGGTGGAGGTGATGGCTGAGGTCATGGACCTGGGGCAGCATGCACTAAATGCAGCAAACAACCCCAAAGGCCTGGGACCTTACTCCTCACAGGCAGTTAGGAGGAGGATGGGCTTCCTGGGGGCTCCCTCCACGCTCTTGCACCACTGCTCCTGGAGATGCCCGTGAGTGGGGATCCAGAGGACAGGTAGGGGAAGGGCAAGTGGCAAAGACTCAGCCATTTCTGAACACACCCCTCTCTCACTTTCTACAGGTGAGGGGTAGTCCGTGTCCCCCCGCCCTGGATGCCAGTGGGAAATGCGGTCTCTGACAGGACAGCTGTGTTCCCAGACCAACTCCACACCGTGAAGTAAGGGTTGCTGGCCCTCCCCGCCACCCACACAAAGCACAGGGGGTGCTCAGGTAATGCTTGTGCATACCACATAGACGTCAGCTACAGGTACGAAAGGTCAAACTTCTAGCCATTTGGGGATGTCATAGATTGAACATGTCCCCCCAGATTTAGATGTTGAAATCCCAATACCCAGTCACTTCAAAATGTGACTGTATTTGGAGACAGGGCTTTAAAGGGATCATTGTGGTTAAATGAGGTCATATGGGTGGGCCCTAATCCTATGGCTGGTGTCTTTGGAAGGAGAGAGAGACACCAGGGCCTCACACAGGGCTGCCATACGCAAGCCCAGGAGAGTAGCCACAGGAAAAACCAACCCTAAGGACACCTCAATGTCAGAATTCCAGCCTCTGGAACCGTGGGAAAATAGATTTCTGTTGTTTAAGCCCCCCGGTCTGTGGTGCTTTGCTATGGTAGCGGGAGCAAACCGATGCAATGAATAGAGCTACAAAAAGCTCCCGCTGGGCAAACTTCCCTTGCCCGAGACACCCAGATCCTGCTGCAAACACGCAGCCACTGAACAGAGAATCATATTTATTCTATTCTGGACTAAGTACCAGGTACACGGGCAGCTGGTAGGATTCAGCACCAAGGACAGTGGCTGGTCCGGCCCACAGGAAGCCTTGAGATGAAAGAATGGAGCCATCCCATCTCAGCATCCCGCCACCTGATGTGGAGCCCCCCACCCAGAAGGGACCAGGGAGGGAGACCCTGCGACCAAGCAGGGACTTGCCCTAGATGGTGAAAGAGAGTCCAGAATTCCCACAGATTACTCTTGGCAAACTGTGTGTGAAGGCCTAGATGGAAAATATTTTACCCTTTGCGGGTCATAGGAGCTCTCTTCTCAGACTCTTTTCATTTTATTTTACAACCCTTCCAAAAGGTAAAAACCATTCTTGCCTTGCGGGCCGTGCGAGAGCATGTCCAGCTCTGTGGGCTGTGGCTTCTCAACCCCTGGTCTGATCTCCTTGCTGGGACTGGCAAATTCACCACGGTGAGAGCAGAGCATGAAGCCAATGCGCGCCCTGTATGAAGCAGGCCCTGCTGTCACCTGTCTTTCCCAGATGCTCAGGAATGTGGCACCAGCCTTATGGGCATCTCTTGAGGTCCCTAAGTTAAGCCTAAAGAGAAAGAAGGCTGAAACTTGGCCATCAGGCCCATCACGCGAGGCTCAGTTGTTGGTTAGCTGGGAGGAAGGCCTGCTCCCTGAGCTGGGCCGGCGCGGGGCCACCTCCCCGGCCAGGTGGGTCTTCTGGTGGCAGGTGAGATTTCCGATGCGCCTGAAGGCCTTGCCGCACGCCTGGCACTTGTAGGGCTTCTCCCGGGTGTGAATTCTGCGGTGCGCCGTCAGCGTGGGCTGATGCCGGAAGGCCTTCCCGCACTGCGCGCGCCGATAGGGCTTCTCTCCCGTGTGGATCCTGTCGTGCCGGACCAGGGTGGACTTGCGCACGAAGGCCCTGCCGCACACGCCGCACCGGAAGGGCCTCTCGTCGCTGTGGATAGCCTGGTGCTGGAACAGGAAGGACATCTTCCGGGAGCTGCGCCCGCACTCGCCGCAGCGGTAGGGCTTCTCGCCTGTGCGGATCCTCAGGTGGATGGAGAGGTGCGCCTTCTGGCTGAAGGCCTTGCCGCAGTCGGCGCAGCGGAAGGGCCTCGCGCCGGTGTGGATCCTCTCGCGCAGGATGAGCGCGGACGACTTGGTGAAGCGCTTCCCGCACTGCGGGCGCGGGTACGCCTTTTCGCCCGTGTGCGTCTTCTGGTGCTCCACCAGCGTCATGCTCTGCGCGATCGCCTTGCCGCACTCGCAGCACTTGAAAGGCCGCTCGCCCGTGTGTGTGCGGTGGTGGTTGAGCGGGTCGGATTTCTTGCGGAAAGCCTTCCCGCACACGCGGCACTGGTGGGGCCTGGCGCCCGTGCGGGCCCGCTGGTGCCCGAGCAGGGATGAGCGCTTGGTGAAGCGCTTGCCGCACTCGCCGCACGCGAAGGGCTTGTCCAGGGCGTGCGCGCGCTGATGCTGCGCCAGCTGGGCCCGCTGCGCAAAGGCCTCCCCGCACTCCCTGCACACGCAGGGCTCCTCGCCGCCAGGGGCTCCCCGGGGGCCCTCCCAGGCGGGGTTCCGCGGGGCACAACCGTGGGGGCCCCTCCCTTCTGGAGTTCCTGGCTGGGTGGCTCTGGGCTGATGCTCTGCAGGGGCCCCTCCTGGAGGCCCCTGGGCCTCTCCCGCCCCAGAGCGCCAGAGGCGGCTCCCTCCCAGCTCTTCCAGGGCCAGCCCGGGGACGCTCCTGCAGGCACGGCTTCCTGTGGGCCGTCCCTGTCAGGCCTGGATTCCAAATCTGAAAGAGACCCAAAACACGAATGTCACCCACGTAGCCTGCTCCCAGAGCGAGGAGAGGTGAGAGCTGGGAGCTAGGAAAGCCAAGAGAAGCCCCCTCAAGCACTTCCCAACGGTTCTAGAATAAGGCCTGATGCGCGGGTGCAGTGTCTCCTCCCCCTATTCATATGCTGAAATCCTCAACCCCAGGTGGTAATGTTAGAAGGTGGGGCCTTGAGGAGGTGAGTAGGTCAGGAGGGTGGAGCCCTCATAAATGGGCTTAGTGCCCTCCTAAAAGGGACCCCAGAGAGTTCCTCCAGCCTGCCTCCCTGCGAGGACACAAGAAGTCACTGGCCGTGAACCCGCAAAGAGGGCCCTCCCAGAATGGTTGGTCTTACCTAGTGAGCTCAGGTTCTGCAAGGTCTCCAGCATCACATCTCTGTAGAGGTCCCTCTGAGCCGGCTCCCGCTGTTGCCACTCCTCCTGGGTGAAGTCCACGGCCACGTCTTTGAAGGTCACCAACTCCTGCAACCATGAAGTCATCTGGTGCACCCAGGCCCGTGGGAAAGGTGGGGCAGGGAGCTGGCTTCAGTGGGTCATCCCCAGGAGGACCCCCTACACACCAGCCCAGCGCAGGGCACATAGTAGGTACTCAAGAGACATCAGCTGAGATTATGATGACCATTATTATTACAGGGCTGGAGTTTGAGGCTGAAACCCTGGGTTTGATGATTCTTTACGAAGACACACAGGACTCTACATAAAATCATACTTGTGACTGCCCTGCCCCAGGTGTTGGGGAGACGGGCCCTGGAGGGGACTCAGGCGGGCAGGGGCTCATTCGACTCTCTGTCCACCCATGAGAAGGAGGGCGAGGGGATGACAGTACTCACCAGGACCTCGTCAGCCAGCAGCTGGGCGGCCATCCCTTCACTGCCCACGGTGATGGGGGACTGGTGGCTGAGTCTGGGGGCTGCTGGGGTGAGGTGGAGGGAGCGAGAGAGAGGGAGACAGTGAGGAACTAGGCCTAGCTCTGCTCTACATGCACACACCCCCGTCCCCCTTTTCTCATCCACAGGAACACCCAGAGACAGCACAGGGGCTCACACCAGGCAGACACCTGCGGTGTGGTGGAAATGGGCAGTGGAGACATGTCTCCCAGGCAGGATCAGACCCAGGCCCGCTCTGCCTACACATCCCCACCCTCCCTGACCCAGCTCATGGGGCTCTTTCCTCCATGCTGACCCAGACCTTGTTCACAAGTCTCCTTTGACACTTGTCACCCTGGGCTGAATTGATGGTGAGGCTACAGGAGCCAGATACCTGGGTTCAGATCCCAGCTCTGCCACTTACCCGCTGTGTACCTTTGGGCAAGTGACTTAACCTCTGCCTGCCTCAGTTTTGTCATCTGGAAAATGAGGATAAGGTACCCACCACACAGGGTCCTTACGAGGTTTCAAGAGGTGAGTATAAGCAAATCCCTTAAGGTAGCATGTGCCATATGGTAAGAATGTAGAAACGTTTTCATTTAATTTTTTTAAAGATTTTATTTTTTTAAAGTCATCTCTACACCCACCGTGAGCCTTGAACTCACGACCCTCAGATCAAGAGCCACATGCTCTACTGGGAGCCAGGCATCCTGTTTTAATTTTATTTTATTATCACCATCTGTATATATAACATCCCCCCCTCCCTTAACTGGGATTCCTTTTATTCGCCTTTATCCCAGGACTCTGCATAGGATTTGGTCTACAGCAAGCTTCCCTATTTTATTATGGTCAGATACACATAACATAAAATTTACCATTTTACCAATTTACCATTTAAAGTGTACAATTCATCAGCATTGGTAGCACATTCACGCTGTTGTACAACCATCACTTCTGTCTAGCTCCAAACCAAAACATTTTCATCACCCCAAAAGGAAACCTTGTACCCCCGAGGCAGCCCCTCCCCACGCCCTCCCTCCCCCAGCCCCTCGCAGCCACCAGTCTGCTTTCTGTCTGCTTTCCGTCTGCATGGATTTGCCTGCTCCAGAAATTTCCTATAAACGGAATCCTACACTGCATGGCTCTGTCTGGCTTCTTTCACTGAGTGTGAGGTTTCCAGGGTTCACCTATGTGATCGAGTGTATCGGGGCTTCACTCCTTCTCACGGCCGTATAATATTCCACTGTGTGAACAGACTGTTGCGATCCGTTCATCTGCTCATGGACATTTGGGTTGTTTCCCCCTTTTGGCCATTGTGAGTATTGCCGCTGTGAATATTCATGGTCAAGTGTTTATTACCTGAATCCCTGTTTTCAATTCTCTGGGGTGTATACCCGAGTGGAATTGCTGGGTCATGGGGGAATTCTGTGTTCAACTTTTCAAGGAACCACCAAACTGATTTTCCACAGCAACAATGGGCCTTAAATTAGAAGAAACTCTGAATATACAAAAGTGGAGGAGACAAGGGTCTTTTAGGTCATCTGGGGCCACAGAGTCTCAGAATCTGCATTTTTAACTGGTCCTCTTCCTCACCAGGGACCCTGACATGGCTCCAGCTTCCCCTTCAAACTCTTGTCATCCCAAACCCCAATCTGTAAAAATAGAAAACGGAGCCCAGCAGCAACCTCTGGGTGTTTACTTCTTTCTTTCTTTTTTTTTAAGATTTTATTTATTTATTTGAGAGAGAGAGCGAAAGAGTGGTGGGGGGAGGGGCAGAGGGAGAGGCAGACTCCCCGCTGGGCAGGGAGCACGACACAGGGCTCCATCCCAGGACCCTGAGATCATGACCTGAGCCAAAGGCAGGTACTTAACCGACTGAGCCACCCAGGTGCCCCTGGGTGTTTATTTCTAAATGATATACAAGTACTACAGTACAAAACATGGTATATTATGATACAAAATAGAGACTATATCTATATATAAAATATGTACTCTCTATGCATAGTACTAAATACCAAAATATAGAGGTGTATAAGGTACACACACACACATTATATATATATATATACCATACTTACAAGTATATCAGATACACACATACTCTAAAGACCATATTACCATATGTGTCTGTAAGACATAATCACAAGTAAATGCCATATGTACGCATATATAACATATATATGCACTGATATACATGACCTGTATATAAGAGGTATGGGTACTAAGTATCACATATACATTGTATGTGGTCCAATCACACACTAAATACCACATATACCTATATATATGTGACCTTTTTATCTGTGTGCTGTGGTACCAAGTACCGTATATACCCGTATATGGCATGGAATCACGCACACTAAACACTGCATACACACGTGTGTAGGACATATGTAAACTGATTATACATATATCATTGTTCTGAATACCATATGCATGGGCATGTAAACGGTTTACCACATAAACATGTATATAAGGTGTATAAACACTACCATAGATATTTACAAATAAGGTGTATATATGTACATATACTAAATACTGTATTTACATTTATAGAAGGTGTATATGTACACGCACATTAAATACCGTAAATACACTAATACACAAAATTACCCCAATACCGTATATATGTGTATGCCACTAAATACCATATTTCAATGACTCCAACAGACCATACACTGAAAAAAGGCATGATTTTACCTAAGGGGGAAAAATCTGCAATTAAACCACAACATACCATCAGTGGTAAGACACATCCTACACATCCTATTTTCGGAGATGTTAAAATGGGAGGGAAATGTGAAAAATGCGTCTTAGAATTAAAGTTGAATTGCTGTCCTTCGTGAAACGACCTACGAACGCAAGCTCTCCCACTGTCTGGCTTCACCCCGCTGCCCGGCCTGGCACACCCCATGTCGGAGATCACTGTCCTGACACAGCGCAGACCCCGGGCCCAGGCTGCCTGGGCTGGACTCGCTGCCTGCCGCTCCCTAGCTGTGTGCCTGGGCGGGTCACTTAACTTGTTTGGTCATCTGGAAGGTGAGGGACCTAAGACCCCTACTCTGTAGGGTTGTTGTGAAGTTCCTAAGTGTGGTTATTAAATTGCACTAATTCTCCCACCGTTGTGGGGGCGAGGAGGCGTTTCATTTTTGCGCCTCAGTTTCCACATCTGCAAATGGGGGGGAATCCTAGTGCGAACGGCACTGGGCTCCTGTGGGGTTCAAGGAGATAACACGGTGTCTCTCCGGTTTCCGCAGGCGTCCACATGAGCATCGCCCGGGAGTTCCAGAAGCCCCCAGCCCCCGGGCCCCGCCCCGGCGAATCCGAGCCGGTCTTCCCGGGCGGGGCCCGGGGGTCTGCACCTCCGATGAGCTCCGGGCGGCGCCGGCACCGTGGGAGGGGGACCCACGCTCCGGAGCAAGTGGACGCTCCGAAACTGCTGGCGGCAGCGCTGCCGTTACTATACCTAAACAACAGCAACAACGAGAGCGGCTCCGACGGATGGAGCTCCGCGCGCCTCCCCGGCACAGGTGCTGTCCACACCCACTGTCCGGCGGGGAAACTGAGGCACGGAGGGGCGGGATTCAGAGCCCCTTCCGGGCCCCTCCCGCGATCCGGGGTGCGTGATCCTCCCCACGACGAAAACCTGGCGGACTAGTGAACCCGGCGGGCGGCGCGGATTCACCGGCGGCCACGGGGCGGCGGCTGGGCTCGGGCCGCGGTAGGTCCCGGCGAGCACACGGTCTGCGCCTGCGCGCCTCGCCGTTCCCGCTCCGCCCCTGCACCGCGCGGGACCGCGCCCCCCTCCGCGCTCCCAGAAGCCTCAGCGTGGGAGGAGACCGAGGGGAGGAGGAGGGAGGAGAAGGGGATGGGAATAGGGGAGGAGCTTGGAGGGAGGAAAGGGGTGAACTGGAGGGAAAGGGCTTGGAGGAAGGAGGGTAGAAGGGAGGAGGATAGGGAGGGAATGAGGGGAGGGGCTTGGAGGAGGGAGGAGGGCAGGAGGGAGGAGGACAGGGAGCGGAGGCGAGGAGGGGCTTGGATGGAGGAGGGGGAGAAATGGGAGTTTGGAGGGAGGCAGAGAGGGGAGGAGCTTTGAGAAAGGGGAGGAGGGAGGAGGACAGGGAGCGGAGGCGAGGAGGGGCTTGGATGGAGGAGGGGGAGAAATGGGAGTTTGGAGGGAGGCAGAGAGGGGAGGAGCTTTGAGAAAGGGGAGGAGGGAGGAGGAAAGGGGGAGGAGGCAGGGAGGGGCTTGGATGGAGGAGTGGGGAGGTAGGAGGGGAAGGGCTTGGAAGGAGGAGGGAGGAGGAAAGGGAGGGGCTCGGAGGGAACAGGGAGGAGGGGAGGGAGGGGCTTGGAGGGCAGCAGGGGGAGGATAGGGAGGAGAGGTGGGGCGGGGCCTGGAGGGGGCGTGGAGAAGGCAGCCGGGGAGGGGTTTAGGGGGAGGAGTGGGGAGGAGAGGAGGGGCGGTGCAGAAAGGAGGGGAAAGTGAAGAGAGGTGGAAGCGGGAGGAAAGCGACGTAGGATGGAGGGAAGCAGGAGAGGAGGGAAGGGAGCGTAGGGAAGACGACGGATGAGGAAGGAGGGGGCGGCAGGAAAGGACAGGACAGGACAGCTGTAGGAAAACAGAGAGAGGGGGGTAGGTAGGGTGAGAGGGAGGAGGAGCGGAGGGGGCAAGCGGGGAGGAAGGAGGCGCTGGAAGGGCCGCGGGAAAGGGGGCTGGCGAGGAGCTCCGGGAGCGGAGGAGGTGGGCGGGGTGAGGAGCCGAGGGGGAGGGGTAAGAGGAAGATGAGGGAATGAAGAAGGGAAGGAAGGGAAACAGGGTCAACAATACTGAAAAGAACAAGGAGGTGATGGGTTAGACCTGGGTGGGAGCAGGATCTCTGGCCCCAGGTGCACCTGGGTTCGGATCCCGGCCAGGAGTCGTTGGACCTCGCAGCCGCGGTTTTCTCACCGGTAAGGAGTTACGAGTAAGGAAACCTACCCCGCAGGGTTGCTCTGTGAGTTACACGAGTCCGTGCCCACGGCGTTCTCAGAGGGGAGCTCTACGAGGACCCGCTAGATAAAACCCCACAGCAACGACACCAACAACAGCAAGACCGCACTTCCGGCTGTTTATTAAATGCCAGGGACTGTTCCAAGCACTTGGCGGGGATTAACCCACTGCATCCTTACCGCGTGTCTCTGAGGTGCGCCTCTTGCCGTATACCTGGATGACTTTGCTGCTGTCACTGATGGGGTGCGTGCTATGTGCCAGGCCCCCTGAGAGACTCTGGACACCATATAATGTCCTTTAACTGCAGGAGGAGGAGGCTTAGGCGTAATGAATTTGGGAAAGGCCACAGGACAGGGTCAGCAAGATGCGGGTAGCATGTGGTTGTGTTTTTGTCTCTACTTGGATCTAAGCTAGAAAATCCTGGAATTTGCGGAGAACGGATGGGCAGAGCCGAACTCACCTGCCCTGGAGGCTCTGCCTACCGCCCCATGGGCACCCGAGTGGTCCTACAATACCTCTTCCCAGGAACTGGTGTTTGTTTGTTTGTTCTGTTTTGTTTTGTTTTGTTTTTCATTGTTCTTTCTCTTCTCTGCCCCTTGGCTGCCTTTCCATTTTCCTTTTAAATTTTTCTCGTTTTGGATATTAAAAATGGCACTTTTTTCTTTTCTTTTCTTTTTTTGCAGCACCTGCTATCAAGAGTCAGATTCTGTTTTCCCAGTCCTTGAATCTGTGCTGTCTGTGTGGCTTGCTTTGACCAATAGAATGTGGCAGAAACGATGCCGTAGGATTTTGCAAGTTAGATCTTCTGATTCTGTGGTTTTTTTTTTCCCCACACCACCAAGCAATTCTCTGACACTAGCTGGGTGTTGGAGACCCTATCTACCTAGAGGAGGCATCAGTTTGAAATAGCTAACTGGTATACCTTCCCAAAGTAATTTCCCTGTTGGCACTCTCACTGCCAATGTGTAAGAATGCCTGTCTTAATTACTGCCCTGCCCATCATGGGCAGTGGCCATGAGCTCCTGAATTTTGGGATCTTAACTACATGGAAGAAGGTCAAAGTGTGAGAAGGTCAAAGTGTGTGTGGGGGTGGTGGTGGTGAAGACTGCTCATTGTCCACCAGTATCTTGTTTCAAGTTCTTCCACAGTGCTAGAACCCCTAAGTTTTAGCTGCATTTCCCAGACTCCCTTGCAGCTAGGTGTGGCCTTGTGACTAGGTTCTGCCCATCAAGGCGCCTCTGGTGGGCCCAGGTGAGAGCTTTCAGGCAGTGCACTGCTGCATTCAGATTCTGGGCTTGCCACTCCCTTGTTAAGGAACCTTGGGAAAGTGACTTAATTTCTTTACAGCTTAGTTTCTTCATCTGTACACTGGGGATAAGGGATAGTATCTACCTTACAGTGTTGTTGTGAAGGACAAATGGAGTTGTACGGCGAAGCATTTAGAGCAGGTCTTGGCACATAGGCTCTCTTCCGTGTGGTCACATTATCATTATAATAATTTTATTATCACCTCCTAAGGTTGATGTAAGGTTTAAGTGCAACCCTGCTCCATGCCTATTATCAGAACAAGTCTCCCTAGTGTTTATTGGTCTCTCAAGACCAGGGAGAAATATTGGGAGGGGATTATATCCATCCATCTACCTCCACCCACCCCCCCAGCACCACCACTCCGGGGAGGGGGGGCGGTCAATGGATTTTCCATTTCCTTCATCATGGATACTCACTTGCCCTGTAAATATTTCCCAAAGCATGGACATTCATAAGAAGAATCTTCCTTTTGCCCAAGTTTCTTTAAAGAACTGCCTATGGGGATGGGATGTTTACTTAAGGGTGATCACCTGCTTCACAGAGAGGGTGAGAGGTGGGAAAGAAGTGGAGGAGAAGGAGAGGCAGGTGCGAAGGTGGCATTTTTTCACTGCCGAATTTAATGTCACACAGGGAAGTTGGTGTGAGCAGAAGTGTGTGGAAAGGGGGAGGAGATACTTGGGTCAAGAAGGAGCCTGAGTTTTTTTTTTTTCTTCTTTCCTCCTTAGCGGTGGGAGAGAGGCCATCTAAGAAATAAGAAAGTGGATGCCTAATACAGGAAAGTACTTTGATTTACTGTATCCGCTGATAAGCAGGGACCTCAAGGGACAGAGGCTTCAGGGTGAGCTGGGAGTCATTCCTTCGAGAAATATCTGAGCACCTCCTCTGTGCCAGACATGTTCTAGGAGCTGGGAGTTCAGCAGTGAGCAAACCAAGGCTCCTTGTCTTATGGGTCCACTAGTGCTAATTTCTGAGTGCGATCAGAGGTAATGAGGGGGAGAGTGAGGGGAGGCTGCTTCGGCTTTGGAGTCAGGGAGGATCTCTCTGAGAAGGTGACATTTGAGCAGAGCCTTGATGAGCAAATATACGTAGTAGCAGCATGATTTCTGTACAGGTTATTAATCTATTGAGATGCTTCTGTGAAAGCTGGTAAATAGTTGACGGGAGACTCCTGACCTTCCTGCCTTGTCCCGTCCTAGAGATCGCCAAAAGGGTGCTAGCTGTCCGTGATTAAAGTACTTAGATTAGCTCCTACTGCTATGCAGGTTGCTGATTTATTGAAATTCTTTAGTGGGAGAGACAGAACAGAGGTACTGACCCTATCTTACCTGAAACTGGGACCCTCATGTTTCCTTTCAAAAAAGTAATGATGAAATTATATAAGCCTACCGGGTAGAATAGAAAATAAGACAGCGTGCCTCCCGTGCATTTATCGCTCATATTTCTTTTTTTAGCATGTAGGGACACGACTTTTATTTTAAAAGTAATTTTTAAAAAGATTTATTTATTTTTAGAGAGAGAGTGAGTGAGCAGGGCAGAGGGGCAGAGAGAGGGAGACTTAAAAAGTAGTTTTAAGCCACCATACATCTTGTGTTGACATTGTGTCCAGTTCTTTTTTCATTTTATCCTAATCCTTTAACAATTTACCTACCTTTGTACTTTATTTCTCATTATTCACTAAAGAGCTTATTTGATACAAAACTCAAAGGAAACAAAAGAATATATGACAAAAAAAGCAAGGTTCTGTCTTCAAACACTGGGTTCTCTTATGGCAACCATTACTTGGGAGCCTTCAAGAGATGTTGTCCATGTACATACACCCACCCCCCCATCTCATCGGATCCTAACAGGGCCAGCAAAGAAGGGAATCAAATGGTAGGACTGTCTTTCCCTTAGCTGGTGGTTGACATCCAAGGGAGGGTTTCCACGGTAATCAACCATCTTTCATAGATGGAAGGAAAAGACAGGTTGGCTGCCCACGAATGGATCTGGGATCCTCTCTGGGGGAAGAGGACTGCTGTGGAGACCCAGAACAAAGACTGAACAAAGTAGACACAGCCAGCCATGGCCCAGCTCCCCTCCCCTCAGTAATGGACAATCCTGGGGTGAGCCTGGGGAGGGGAGGCACCTCTCCTGGTGTTGAAGAACCTCCAGAAATAGTCTGCCCCATGAAGCAGGACAGGGGCAGGCTCTAGAGCCAGTCTCTCAGGTCTGAATCACAAGTCTGAGATTTACTGGTTGTGTGAGCCAGGTGACTCAGTTTAATAGCTATCAGAAGGTGTTGGGAATCAGGGGTGAGCAAGACCATTGACATCCCATCTCTTGGAGGGCGACTCACCTTCTCCAAATCCCTTTTTAAATAGTATTATTTTATTTTATTTCTGGACAGTTAATAAGTAAACACATTTTCTTTGTCAAAGGTCAAAACATATTAAGCAAGACTTCCTGCTGATCTCACTTCGTCAACCCTAGCCCTCTGCTCTAGAGGTGAGTAACTGGTGGTTTTGGGGTGCACTGGGAGGGTGCTTTTTTTAATGTTTTATTTATTTATTCATGATAGTCAGAGAGAGAGAGAGAGAGAGGCAGAGGCAGAGGGAGAAGCAGGCTCCCCGCCTAGCAGGGATCCCGATGCGGGACTCGATCCCAGGACCCTGGGATCACGACCTGAGCCGAAGGCAGACGCTTAACCATCTGAGCCACCCAGGCACCCTGGGAGGGTGCTTTTTGTTCTCATGTACAGATGTGTCTGTGCCCATAGAAACAGGTGCAATTTTTGTGTGCATATCTGGGAATGCATTGATTTTAAGCTTCACCTTCCTTATCCATAGAACGATATCCATAGAACAATGGCTAATATTACCCATCCCATAATAACAATGCCAAATATATATAGGTCTTTTACTATACGCTATTATTACTGAATAAGTTGTAATAATTAAATCTATGTATCATATTTCTTTGATGCTAAAGTGCACTTTTTTTTTTACATTCTAACATCTCTGACTTTAAAATATGCCTTCATATTGTCAGTATTTTAGGATTTTAACTTTTTATCTTGTAAGCAGTACATATGGGAGCAAAACTGTCACATTCACGGCATACCGTAGTCAGGAAGAAAAGTTAGTTTGCACCCTGAGATTAACCAAATCTAACAGGGCCTCCCTGTCTAGTCCTGATCCCCCAATCATAAAACACTTCTGTAAACCTGTAATCCGTGGTAAAAAACTTAATCCCTGAGTTTTGCCATGCTGAGACTTGAAGATATGTCTTCTGGCTGTGATCCTCATTTAACAAAACTACTGGTGTTTGATCATGAATGAACAAATGTAACCTCGATAAACTTGCTAATCTTGTGAGCCTTTTCTCTTAAACGCCAGTCGTGTTTTAAATTTGCCAAGCCTTTACATACACATCTATGCATCCATAGAAAATATCCGACATTGTTTTATGTTTTTGGGTTTTCATATGAGTGATATCAGACTGTGTCTGTGGTTTTGCAGCTTGCTTTTTTTCCATGCAGTGATGTGTCTTCAAGATCTTTCCATATCAGTCCCCAAAGATCTATTTTGTTCCGTAAAATGAAGGTAAGAACATTACCCAACTAACAGCATGCAGGAGGGCGTGTATTTCTCTAAGCAGACTTGGCAACTCTGCCATTTTTCTGTTTCACCCCAGAGGGCCTCCCCACCCCCACCCAAGTGACTAAATACTTCAAGGTTTTAGGCAACTAGGTGCATTTTCTCACTTCAGTCATCTGTCTTTTCCCCTGCAGAATAAACTGAAGAATTCTCAATAGTAACGAAATAAGAAGGTCTTTGGTGACAGATTGCCCTGAGTTAAATTCTGGCTCTTTACAAGTTGAATTTGGGTCTTTTCCAAGAGATCTGAGGCTTCCAAATGATCACTCTCTGGAAATAACCTTAATGTCTCCTAGTTGGGGGAAAGACCATGTAGCCACATAGTGGGATTAATTCCCTGTGGTTGTTTAAGTCTTTTTAAGTTTTATTTATTTACTTGCCAGAGAGAGAGAAAGAGAGAAAGCACAAGCAGGAGAAATGGCAGGCAGAGGGAGACTGGGATCATGACCTGAGCTGAAGGCAGATGCTTAACTGACTGAGCCACCCAGGCGCCCTCTCTCTGTAGTTGTTTAAAAGAGTAAGTAGATTCTTTTCTTTGTGGGATGATCCTTGCTGACAGGATTCCTTGCTTGATGCCACAGTCCTGTCCTCTGGGCCACAGCCAAGGGACCAGAGTGCGGAACAACAGATCAGCGGCCCATGGAATGGTCTCATGGCAGAGTTTTGCTCAATAATGACTCCATGATGTTAGATGACTCAACTGTGCAGACCATGGGCTGCATCCAGCCCACCTATGTGTTGGTTGAGTTCACTCATCTTTTTAATTTAATGAGTTGCCATCATTAAGATACTGGGATATTTTATGTTTACGAACATCACTTTTCATTCACTCAACCCTTAAAAAGAACATTCATAGAACATCTGGGATGTGTCAAACAATGTTCTAAGTGCTAGAGGCCCAGGGATGAATTAGAAACACACAGTCCCTACCCATCATAGAGTCTACATTCTAGAAGGTGAGTCAGACAAGAAGCAAGAAAAAAAAAATATATATATATAATGTAATGAGTTCCAGCTTCTTTAGAGAATTTGGAATATCAAAACCCACCAGGCTAACAACTCCATGAGAAGATAGAAAAGTAGGTAAGAGTCAGACTTCAGTGACTCTTGCTGATCAAAGTGTTCATATCAGAGGCTTGAGCCTTCCTGCCTCTTGAAAAGGTGTGGAAATCGTCCTCTTAGGGGAAGGGGATATGCCTCAGGCATCCTGGATGTTCCCTGCAATGGCCAGCACATAGTGGGTGCTTTATGAATGTCTGTCTCTTGAGTGATATGACCAGATCTTTGGGAAAAACAAACATATTCATTCATTAATTCATCCATCCCACAGTGGCTGGATTTTATGCCAGGGACTCTTTGTTGAAGACTTTGGACAATTCAAAACTCACATAATTCAAGATTAATCCTAACAAAAGTTCTTGGCATGTCTCTTCACTAGCTAAAGTGATAGTATAGGGCGCCTGGGTGGCTCAGTTGGTTAAGTGACTGCCTTCGGCTCAGGTCATGATCCTGGAGTCCCGGGATCGAGTCCCGCATTGGGCTCCCTGCTTAGCGGGGAGTCTGCTTCTCCCTCTGACCCTCCTCCCTCTCATGCTCTCTGTCTCTCATTCTCTCTCTCTCAAATAAATAAAAATAAAATCTTTAAAAAAAAATAAATAAAGTGATAGTATAATAACAAGTATAGTTTACAATGTACATAATTGGTCATATTCAAACTTATGGGTTTTTTATTAAAGGAATTTTAAATTGTAAAGCTTCTTCTCATTTCAAAAAATGCCCCCAATGCTCATGATTTCAAATGTTTATAATTCAGGTTAGCATAAAATATAGCCATGCTAGTATTTATATAAATCTACAGTAATATCCTTCTTGTGACCCCACCTCATAACATAAAAATAGGGTCTTGCCAATAATTCACATATGCTTATATAGCACTCCCATTTCCCCCCAGCCCAAGGTAACCATGAGCCTGAATCCTGGGCACTTTTCCCTTGATTTCCTTTTTGTACATTTTTCCCCTCAGAGATGCTCTGGAAACTCTGCATTAATAATTCTAGTCAGGTTGTAGTCAGGCCCTGCTGTCCTAAGAGCCAAAGTTGCCTCTTAAAAATGACTCTGCAGCTATGGTGAGCACTGTGAATTGTGTAAGACTGATGAATCACAGACCTGTACCCCTGAAACAAATAATACATTATATATTAATTAAAAAAATGACTTTGCAGTTTTCTCCCTCATCTGCTTTCATCCTGAGCTCCCCACAGCCCAGAGAGCTTTGTTTCAGCTAACAGCAGGGCTTTTCCCAGGCAGACTGGTTCTTTGAAGAAGAGAGAGAGGGAGAGAGGGTGAGGGTGGCAAGAGGGGGAAATGGGGAGGAGGGAGGGAGACAGAGTCAGAGAGAGAGGGAAGGAGGGAAGGAGGGAAGGAGGGAGAGGGAGAGAGACAGAGACAGAGATAGAAGTAGAGAGGAAGAGGGAGGGAGAGGGAGAGGCAGAGAAAGGGAGGGAGAGAGGCAGAGAGAGAGACATGCATACATAAAGAGACAGAGATAGAGGCAGAGAGAGAGGAAGGGGAGGGAGGGGGAGAGGGAGGGAGAGAGAGAGAGAGGCAGAGAGAGAGACACACAGAGAGAGAGGGAGGGAGGGAGGGAGAGAGAGGCAGAGGGAGGGATAGAAAGAGGCAGAGAGAGACACACACAGAGACAGAGATAGAGGCAGAGAGGGAGACAGAGGTAGAGGTGGACAGAGAGACAGACAGAGTGAGGGAGCGAGAGAGAGGGAGGGAGAGAGGCAGAGAGGAAGAGCCCTCTCCAGCTAGTCCGCCTAGAGATTCAGCACCACGGACAGCTCAGGCCTGACCGGTTCAGCACCGCGGACAGTGTCAGGAGCCCACTTCTGCCGCTGGCTCTGCCAGATACATGTGTTCTTCTCTCCTCCTCCTCCCTTTTCCTCTTCCTCTTCTTCTTCTTCAAAAATTTTATTTCTTTATTTGAGAGAGAGTGAGAAAAAGAGAGCAGGAGCAGGGGCAGAGGGAGAGGGACAAGCAGACTCCCCGCTGAGCAGGGAGACCGATGCAGGACTCAATCCCAGGACCCTGGGATCGTGATCTGAGCCGAAGGCAGACACTTAACCGACTGAGCCACCCAGGCGCCCCTACGTGTGCTCTTCTGAGCATTCCTGGGCCCACTCCACAACCCTCACCGCCAGAGTTTCTGAATGCTGATATCTGGGTAACACAGGTTCTCCTGGTGTTGACCTCAAAAAGCACAGACATCAAATACTTAACATGCCCCAAAGAGGGTATTCTGGATTTTCTCACAGACAAAAAATGTGGGTCCTCCTCACTGCACTCACTATAGGGCACTTAGTTGTTCAGGCTCAAAGTCCAAAAGTCTTCCTTCCTTCTTTCCTTTCTCCTACCTCTCACATACCGCCCATCAGGGAGTCCTCTCAGCTCCATCTCTAGAGTGTATCCTGAATCTGTCCACGGCTTTCCACCCCTACTGCCCCACATCACTCCAGTCCACCATCATGTTTTGCTTGGTTTACTCCAGCAACCTCCTAACTGATCTTCCCATTTTACCTTTTGCCCCTTCTAGAGTTTTTCCCACACAACCGTTTCAGTCATGCCTTGAAAATGTAAACTGATTATATCACACCCTTCCTCAATGTCCTCCCATAGTTTCCCAGTGCAGCTACCAATAACATTCAAAGATGTTGCTGTGGCTTTCAAGACCATGGGAGGCTCTCTGATCCTATCTCCCATTACTCTCTCCCTTGCCTGACCACTCTGGTCACAGTGGCCTTCTTGTTGTCTTGGCACCCCGAGCAGCATCTGCAACATAACAGCTGCTTAATAAATATTTGTTGAATTGCTGAATGAGTGAGTGAGTGAATGAGTGAACACCTAGCATTAATTTGTCTTTTCCCAGCTACTCATGGATCCCCAAAGAGATGTCAATAGTACTCAACTCCTGATCAAAGAGCAGTCATAGGTACTGGTCCAGGGTTTGAGAGCTGTGTTGCAAGTCCCCAAGACCACCCCCAGGTTTGATGATTCGCTAGCAGGACTCACAGAACTCATCATATAGGCATCCTCATGATGATTTATTATAGTGGAAGAGTATGAATCACAGTCAGCAAAGGGAAAAAGCTCATGCACATGACGCATCTTCACCTTTCCGTGGCCTCATGGTAATCAGAGTTTACTTCTCCACCCTTCAACTCGCCATGAAGAGTGAAGATGTGTCACAGCTAGGGTGATGGTGAATTGGGGCCAATAATTCAATCTACCACATCAAGTAGAAGCTTCTAGCTATGATTTATTAATTTTTATTTTATTTCCATTTCCAGGGCGCCTGGGTGGCTCAGTTGGTTAAGTGTCTGCCTTCAGCTCAGGTCATGATCTTAGGGTCCTGGGATGGAGCCTTGTGTCGGGCTCCCTGCTCAGCAGGGAGTCTGCTTCTCCTTCTCCCTCTGCCCTTCCACCCACCACTCAGCTCATTTGTAAATAAAGATCTTTGTGGGTCCCTGAAAAAAAAAAATCTAAAAATTTGGTGTAGCTTCCAGGAGAGCAATTTGGCAGGTAGTGATTACATTCTAAAACTTGAACAACAGTGATAATAATAGCAACAATTAGGCACTGTTCTAAGCACCATACAAGCCTGGTTTATTTTTTACCTTAACAGCAGTCTTGGGAGGTGGTAAGCAGAATGAGAAACCGAGGCACAGAGATGCTAAGCGACACACCCAAGGACACACTAGTAGCAAATGGCAGAGCCAGCCTCCGACCCCAGGCGGTCTGGCCTCAGGGTCCCAGGGGCTGCCACACCCCTGCCCCAACTCCTCCCTCCTCCCTCCCACCCTGACCCGGGTTTGCGGAATAGAGAATCACCAAGGAGCCTGAGAAAGTTGTTGGCCTTGGCGCGCATCTGCCGCTAGGGAAGTTGG